TTCCTTGGTCCATGCAAATCGCGCGCCGTTTTTCAGTGTCTTGAAGAATGGGGCGCACTTGTCAGCTGACCTTGGGATGAACCTTCCTAGCGCCGCAATTTTCCCGTTCAGGGACTGAATCTCCAATGTGTTTCTTGGCGCGCGCAAGCCTTGGACTGCGGTGATTTTCTTTGGGTCGACTTCGATACCGCGCTTGGTGATCATGAATCCCAAGAATTTTCCGGCTTCGGCTCCGAACACGCATTTCAGCGGGTTCAAGCGGAGACTGTGTTTGCGGAGCGCTTCGAATGTCTCGCGCAAGTCATCTAGATGTGACTTCCCTGCTTTGGTTTTGACGATGAGGTCATCCACGTATGCCTCGATATTGCGTCTCCTTTGCTGCGCGAACACTGTATCGATCATCCTCTGGTATGTCGCGCCTGCATTCTTCAGCCCAAATGGCATTCCGACAAAACAGAAGTTTCCGAACGGCGTCATGAAGGCTGTTTTCTCTTCGTCTTCGCGCGACATTGGGATTTGGTGATATCCCGAGAACATGTCCAGGAAGGACAGTGTTTCATGGTCGGCTGTGGCGTCTATCAGTTGGTCGATGCGCGGCAGCAGGTACGGGTCCCCTGGGCACACCCTGTTGATCGTCGTGTAGTCGACGCACATTCGCCAAGCTCCCGAAGACTTTTTTACCAACACCACATTCGCCAGCCACTTCGGGTATTTCACTAGACGGATTAATCCCGCTGACAACAGGCGCGCCACTTCTTCCTCAATGGCTTTAAGTTTATCTCCCGTAAAGCTCCGCCGCGCCTGTTGTCTTGGCGTCGCGCTCACTGGGACACCAAGGGAATGTTGGGCGACATCTCTTGGTACGCCCGGCATGTCTTCCGTGCACCATGCGAACAATTCCTTATACTCCTTTAGCAGTTTTATTAGCGGTTCAATCGCGTCTCCGGGGACGTTAGTTGAAACGCGCACCTTGTGGGTTGGCTCGCTCGGATCAAGGGCGACCTCGAAGTCAGAATCCATTGATTCCGGGCGAGGTTCTTCCGCCCTTGTGTCAACGATGTTGGTCTGGCGGATTTCTCCTGTCTTTGTTGGCTCCCATGCTGTCGCGCACGCTTCTCCGCTCCCCTCCTTGGTTGGGAATTTGAGTTTCTGGTGACATGTTGACGGGAGAGCCATGAATTTTGCCAAGAGCGGGCGGCCAAAAATTCCATTGTGGGGGGACTTGCAGTCGACTATCGTGAATTCGACTTGCTTCGAGACGCGTGGCTCTTGGTCCCCCAGCACGACTAGAAGGGTGACTACTCCGATAACTGGGACCCTGGTGCTGGAAAAGCCGACCAAGTTCCCGTATGCGGGCTTGATTAGCCGCGGGTCGATGTCCATCTGGTCGACCGTGCTTTTGAAAAGGATGTCCGCCGCGCTGCCCCCGTCAATCAGTAGGCGGCGAACTTTGCAGGCGGCGACGAGCGCGGTGATGATGAGTGGGTCCTCCGAAGGGACCCCTCCGGGGAGTTCAGCGTCGTCGAAGCTCAGGTTGCACTTCTGCGTAGCTACTGCTGCCGCGCACTCTATAGCGCGGTCGCGTTTGGTTTTTTTCTTCGGGCGGTCTCCTTCTACGGTTACCACCCCTATTTCCTTTCGTACTACGTACGAGCCTGAGGCGTCGTCATAGTCCGCCTGTGGTGGTGGTGGGGGTTCCACAGGGCGCTCCACCGGTTCTTCCGCTCCGCGAATGAACTCGCTCAGCAATCCCCTTTGTATGAGGCCCTCGATCTCGTAGCGCAATTCTCTGCAGTTTTCTGTCCAGTGCCCCGTGTCTCTGTGGAATTCACAGCGCTTCTTGGGATCGCGCATGTGTGGGAGTGTCTTCATGGGGGCGGGCCAGTTGATCTTGTACCCCTTCTCTCGTAGAACGTGGTAGACGTTCTTGACCGTGTCGTTGAGGGGAGTATAGTTTGATGGGCGCCTCTCTGGTGATCGTCCTCGATGGGCTTGTTCTGGAGGAGGTGGTGGGCGTCTGGCGCCGCTGTGCGCTTGCAACAGCTGATCCCGCGGCACAGGGAGTTGCCTACGAGCTTGCTCTTCTTTTTGCATTTTGGCTGGTTCAAAACGTCGGATGGAACCCGTGCCTAGCGTTTCTTCCAAAGTGATGGCTTTTTCAACTTTGACTTCCAGCTCAGTAGACAGTGTAATTGGTCTCTTTGCTAGCGCTCTCTTGAGCTCCATGCTAGTAGTAGCGTCCATGAGGTGGTGGGCGGCGGTTTCCGGGGTGAGATCCCTTACAGCCATTGCCACTCTGGACCACCTGGCGTAGAACGCCCGCAAGCTCTCTCCATCCTTCTGGCGGATGTCTATAAGCGCCTTGAGGTGGAGAGGTCTCCTTTTTTGTGACGCGAACTTGGTTGTGAACAGAAGTATGAACTCTTCGAAGGAGCGGATGATTCCATTCGGGAGGCGGTTATACCAGTCGAGACATATCCCGGAGAACGTTGATGGGAACGTGCGGCATAGTGCCGCGTTGGAGTTGGTTTGAAGTTGCATCCGTAGGCAGAAAGTGTTGACATGGTCTTCAGGATCGGTGGTGCCATTGTATGTGGGGAGGGTGGGTGGGGCCCCACTCAGGTGTTCCGCCATGATCTCCGCGCATAATGGTTGATGTAAGGCCTTTCTGGGCGGATTGGGGCGGAACTGTGGGGACAGGTGTTGCTCCAAGAAGCTGAGGTCCGCTCTTCCTGGTGGCTCGTAGCGCTGAGTTTCAGGAGCGGCCAACTCGACCACTGTCTGATGAGGTGGCATGACGTGGCCTGATGTTCCTCCTTGCGTTAGCTATAACGCGTCAGACGGCGCACTCGGCGCTGCCGCAGCTTCTCTGCTCATCATGAGCGCCATAACTTGGCTCATCTGTTTTTGCATACTGGCGATGACGTCGTTTTGCTTAGCCATCTGTTGCCTCATCTCTTTGGCTGTCAGTTCGGGCTCTTCTTCCTCAATGAGTACCGCGTCGCGGTTGCTGGCTTCCGCGAGTCCCGCGAACACCCTAGGATCCGTCATCGCCTTGATGGGGGTTACCTCGCCGGGTATGTTGGAGTTTTGTTCTGCCATTTTTTCCTCAGGCCCCACGGTGGGCGCCAATTGTTTGAACCTAACTGTGGGTAGGAGTGAGGTTCACTGTAATGGGTCAAGAAGAATGAACGGCTTTGTCGAACAAGAACTATGAGACAAATGAGAGGAAAGAAAGAGTTGAGAGTCTCTATTTTAGTGAGATAAAGTGATGATCTTAGAGATAGAGTCTCAAAAATCTGATCCCCTCACCCACCGGAGTAAATGCCATATTTATAGGCTACATGGTGGTGGGTGAGGTACACAACGGTACAATGATGTGACTACCATGGCAGGGTGACATGACCTCTGACACGTCATGGACCAATACCATATCCCTAGGGACGACAAGACCCTTAGCCATGACTATACCTAGGACTATGATGTTGACTACTCTAGGACTATGATGGTGACTAACCTTCGGGTGACGCGGCGCCGCTATTACACTTCTCGTTGAGGGCCGTTTGGAGTTTACGCGCGAGCTTTCCAGGCCATTCTCCGTACTCGCGCGCCGGCTTTGGCGCGGTCGTCTTTGGCGCGATCATCCTTAGGTATTTCCGAGTCACATCCCCAACAGTTAGTAATAATACATGTTATACCACGTAATAACATTATCCACCCTAAATTAACTGAACCGCCTTGAGGGCAATCCCTTCCATGATCAAGATGTACACTTAAAACCACTAATCAAAGGAAAAGATTGTTCTATTTTTACATTTGGGATTTGAGAAACTAGCTACTAACTCGACTAATATGACAACCGAGTCGAACCAAACCGACAACGATCAAGTGAACTAAAATTGAGCTCTGACGATAAACATCCAATAATAGATCATCTTATACAACATACTAACATGTTCATTCAAACAGTTACTCATACATATTTGAAGTTTGAATAGATTCGACTACAAATGAGCCGAGTCGAGTCGAGTTTTACCCCAGCTTGAGCTCGGCACGTTAATAAACAAGTCGAGCTCGAGCTCAGTTTGTTTATTGACGAGCCGAGTCGAGCTCGAGCTAGCTTGTTTACTAAAATCTTGACTTTTATTTGGTACTTCTTTTTGTATATCATGATACATAAGATTTATTTTGTTAGCTAATCTCATATTATACTTTGTTGGTATCATATATCATTTAGTTAATAAATTTAACTACTCCAAATCATGTTATTTCATAGTATCGAAACAATTTGTGATACATAATTTCTTTTTAAAGTAGAAAATAAGATATATTTGCCCACATACTCAACGTGTTAAACTTTATATATGGTGAGATATATAATTTAACAACCTTATGAATTAAAATCATAAGATATAGATTGATTCGTCCATAAGTCGGTAATCGAGTTGACTCTCTAGTCACATGTTGAGACATATCATGAGCTCTAAACGAGCCAGCTCACGAGTTTAGCTCAACAAGCCACCGAGTCGAGCTAGTTCGCGAGCTGAACAAAGTTAAGCTCATGCTCGGCTCGTTTATTAACGAGCCGAGATTCGAACGAACTTTTCTCGAATCGAACGCCGAGCCACTCGCGAGCAGCTCGGCTCATTTGCAGCCATCATATATCAAATAAATTTGTCGCCAGAATTCGAACAGAGCACCTTCCGATCAAAGAAGTCATTAATGTCGTGTCGAAAACCAACTAATTTCAATAACATAAATTGTTAGGAGGGGTACTAACATTATCCACCGTAAATTAACTGAACTGCCTTGCCTTGAGGACAATCCCTTCCATGATCAAGATGTACACTTAAAACCACTAATCAAAGGAAAAGATTGTTCTATTTTATATTTGGGATTTGAGAAACTAGCTACTTGCTCGACTAATACGACAACTAAGTCGAACCGAATCGAACCGACAACGATCAAGTGAACTAAAATTGAGCTCCGACAGTAAACATTCAACGTGGGGATTTCAAAGCCTCCACCTGGGACTTGCCACAGGGGCCCTTGGTTCTTATGTATAACCGGTACTGGTCAAAAGTCATGGGTGGGTACAATGCTGGCCTCTCTTTGGTTACAAGTTCATTAACCGGCCGGATTGGAATGTCACTCTTTGGGTTGTAGAAGAAAGCCAAAGACACTCTCTCCTTTGCTGAGTTTACAATCACCCTGTGCTCCACGCTTCGGTAAATCGCATTACTTAATACCTGATCACCGTAAAAAAAAAAAGACCACCATAGTATATGAAAAAAATAGCTTTAGTCATCGATAAAGGTGACAAATGATAATTCAATTTAATCAACCCACTAATGATTCACCTAATTCAATTCCATTTTGAACAAAATCCAATAGATGGGTTAATTGCTTTGGATTAATGGATTTAACCGGTAACGCAGTTTCGAATAATATATAATTTATTTTTTATCAAAAAAAATATATATATATATAATTTATAGTATCTAACAAATTGGTCAAAAGTGGTGAGGTAATGCATAGCTAGAAGCCTAGAACTAGCACATCCGTAATGGCTTGACAAGTCAAAATTAGTACACGAGTGATGACTTGAGAAAAAGTAATAGTGTTTTCTAATATTAGATATTATTATCGAGCACTTCTACTATACTATATAGTATTGGTGCTTTAATGTACAACTTAAAGTTGTACCATAACATTAAATGTATAAGTTTAGGTTGTACCATAAAGCAATTTGTACCATTACGTTATGGTACAACTTTACAACTTGAAGTTGTACCATCATATAAAGGTACAAGTCCAAGTTGTACCATTAAAGAATTTGTACAAAAAGTATAGGTACAATCTAAAGTTGTACCATAACGTAAATGTACAATTTTAAGTTGTACCATAAAGGCAAAATCCTATAGCACCAATACTATATAGCATTGTAAAATTTCTCATTATTATCTAGAAAACAGTTTTCCCCATGTGCTGAAATACATGAGAGGATCTGCTTTTTTCCTCTCTTGTAAAAGTAGTGGCCAACAAAGATTATTAGATTATGGACCAAACTATTCAGCTTCTAGTGAATGAAAAATCACATGGCACTAAAAGCTGAAAACGTGGGCTAGCTTACTTGTTGGATTTGGTTAATGAATTTAATAACTAAATTATAAGTTTGATGAATTTTATTCAAGTTTATTACTTGTTTATGGGTGTCAAATTGGGAGAGTCTAAGGATTTGATCCTTTATTATTCAAACTTGTGAACTTCACATATTTGTAAATCTCATATATATTGTATTGGTATCCATAAAATTTTTTATAGTAATTTATATTTATAATAAATTCATCATAAATATATCATCAAATCTACAATATAATTATACTAAAAATTTATAATTTTTCCCCTTCAAAACACTCATTTTTTAAATCAAACAAGCAAACAACCTCGTAGTACAACCACGGTAGAGTACTCGTGATCTACTAGACAAACAAATAGACCAAAGTGGGGATAAGGGAGCAACGACACACATAATTAATATATAACATATCATTTCCATAATTCCACATCTCTTTAAATAAAAATCAATCTCTGGTTATGAAGACGGCATATGTTTTTCTATCGTGTTCTCAAGTCAATCATTTATATCAAAAGTTATAATAAAAAAAGATGTCGTTAAAATATTTCTCTATAAATTTTTTGATATAATGTCAAAAATAAGTTGACGCCTCTCCATATACGAAAATTGTACCATTTGCTTAAACAATGAATAATTTATTATACTTTAATTATCTTAAAATTTTATTGTCCATTAATTTAAGGGTTATCTAATATTAGTGGGAAGCAAGTTCAATCAAAAACCTAAACTTGTCTGGTAGGTCTCAAACACGATGGACATTTATGTTCACGCATCCTTCCCTTCAATCTAACACCTATAAATTCGACAGACAAGCTTTCATACGACATCGTTGCATTGTAGACAAAACTCAACTAGTCCATATCAAAACGTGGCCCAGACATCACGTGCACCATGTGCTCTATAATAAACCCCTGGTCCCGAATGTAGACAATTCAAAGAAAAGTGCGGTTTTTAACCGTTTAAAGTAGAAGGTCTTAAATTCCTCTAGTTAATTACCTGGATTTGATCGCCGATATTGACGATGAAGGCATGCTCGGCCGGCTTCACCGTGATCCAGTCATCCCCTCGCCGGACCTGAAGCCCCGGCACCTGGTGGTCCGGCAACAAAATGGTCAGCCCGCCGGGGTCCGAGTGCGACGACAGGCCGAGTGTCAGGTCTGGCTGCGGACATTTCGGGTAGAAGTTCACTCTCAGACACGCCCCGATGTTTGTCCCTCCAAATGCGTCTTGGAGGCGTTCTTCGTCCAATCCCAAGTTGGCCGATAATATCCTCATTAACCTCCCGCAAAACTCCACCACTTGTTTCCCGTAATCGTCAATCACTTCCCTGAATGAGCCCAAATTTGAAGGATAAGTATGTGGCTCGTAATGGTATGAATGCAACAAAAAGACAACGTACAAACGAATAACCAATCTTATGTTACATCTTATCCATAAAAAAAAAAAAGAAATAACTATTTAGGTATAAAATCACCATGCAATGCAATTAATATCCAATAAAATTGATTATTTTATATCAAATAGTATCGTCGAATCATCGAGCTAAAAAAATTTCGATCGCCGAATATCCACGTTATAAATTTCTTTTCTAAGGAGTCATCGAGATGAATCAATTTAAAAACTTGACAGTTTGATCAATTGTGGCATTTTAGAAATCAAGTCAATTCGAATTACCTTCTCGACTCCTAGACAATTGAAATTGACTCATAAAGGATCAAATCCAAAATTTTCGGGCCAAATTGACTCATAAAAACAATTTCGAATGTTGAACCCAAAAATTCAAAAAAAGAATTACCCAACTATGAACAGTAAAGCAAAATTAATTTACTGGGACGGAACTTTGACCGACCTGATATCGGACGGGAGGGAAGGCCACTTGTCGTGGTCCTTCAACGCCGGCGGCAAGTAGTGTAAAAAATAGTAATCGCTCCAATCGAGTACGGCGCCCTTTTGGACCCCGAGGCGGCTGCCGTACCCTTCGTAAGTCTTGGGCGAGTTGGCGTACCTCTGCTTCGCCTCCATGGGCTGGTGGAAGAATTCCCGCCAGGCCTCCCGAGCCCGGTCCATTAACTCTGGGCCCACCCCGTGGTTCACCACCTGGAAGAACCCCCAGTCTCGGCAGGCGGCCCAGATTTCCTCGTCCGACGACCGCCCGCCGCCGAGGTCAATGATGGGTATGTTGTTGTTGTTAACGTTGTGGTGATGGTTGGTGGTGGCCGGCCGCTGGTGTGGCGGCTTCACGTAGCGGTCGGGGATGACGTGGAGGCCGCTCTCCGATAGGGATTGGACTCGGACGATCGGTTCCGGCCACTCCTGGAGGCCGCCGGTCATTGTTTATTATTATTTTTTTTATAATTTCCCGGCGGTGGTAGTGAGGAGGTGATGAATGGTGATTATGTTGGAGGATTATTGGGGTTAATATTGGATTAAGGAACGTGAAGGGGGAAGAGGGAAGGGTGGTGAAAGCGGATTAAGAGGGGGTAATTAGTGGGATTAAGAGGGAATCTCGATGGAGAAGAGAGAGTGGTAGAGAAAATGGGGGGAATGGAGGAGGAGGAGGAGTGTGTGTAGATTTGCGAAACTGAAGTTGACGTTTATATATTTGACAACGTGAAAATAATGGCCCTATTTTTTCAGAGAAATTAATGAGAATCTTTTGTTATTTTTTTCTTTCTTTATGGGTAACGGTTTGTTTTGTTTTATTTTTATGGTAACATATAATAATGACCGTTTTTATTTTCTGCCATGTGGTAATATAAAATCAAGGTTGTCAATCGCGTGTGGATCCGGTTTGACTCATGTGGGTGATGAAAACGGGCACCACATACTTGTAGGTCGACCTTGGAATAGGTTAGGGTGGTTACTCAATTTTGAGTAATCACGGTGGCTACCAACATCTATACCATTCATTATCTTTATTTTATTATATTTTTAAATTAACGATTAAGATTAACTAAGGGTAATTTAGGAAATGAAAAACATACCACACCTGATTACTCTATATATTATACTTAAACCCTAATACAACCTATCTACCTAGCCGCCGTCTCTCCCTTCTCCCATCCCACAACTCGCATCTGCAATGCCTCCTAGTGTTATCTGAAAGACGTGTTTCTGTCAAGGAGAACAGCAGTACATAATAATGGGGGTTTGCTTCTCCAGGGTTTTATAAAGAAAGGACTCGAGAGAAGCAGAGTGATGATAAACAAATGAAAGGATATTGCTTCAGCCTCGGGAAGATTGGGGGCGCCAAACGCCTTGCAGACACGTTGCTCGCCTTTGCGCTAATCGGAGATGAAAATCGAGGAGAGAAAAGAGGGAGAAACTGGATTTGGGAAATCACTGCTCGCCAGAGCATTAACAATGAAGTTCCTCGGGTCGACAGATTCGCTGGAAAAGGTGGGATGAATAAAAACCCTAGATCTGATTTTTTCGCATTGGTAGTCATTCATTCCCCTCCATTTGGATTCCTTGCTTCACCACTGTGTGTTTGAATTTTTATTCTATGTTGGATCCAATTACGAACTGTTATTTGGTAGAATGTTATATATTATTACCCATATGTGTTATATGAGATTTGTAACTAATAAATATATAAACAATATAATGATATTTTTTATATATATCCGGACTAATCAGGACTCATTTGCTGGCCAATAGGCAAGATCGTATAGTTTTTATTTTATTTTTGTACAATTGGAAGAGATTTTTGCTGCCATTGTTTTGTTGATCCGTTTGCATTATTGGCATGTGTTGTAACAGTTTTATAGTATGGTCTTGTCATGTGTAGAAGTACAAGTGTACAACCAACCAATTTTGGACGGGGAAGGAAAAGGGAATTTTAGTAAATATTTAAGCCATCAACAGATTGTCTTACTATATTATTATTATTTTCTTTTTTCTTGTCAATAATTGATTGTTAACGTGATGAGGCTCTGATCTGTCATGAGGAAGGAAAGAAAACGAGATGGTTATATAACTTAGCGGTAAAATTTTTAGTGGATGGTCGTTTCGGAAAGTGTCAGATTTTGTGTTCAATCTCCTCTAAGGCCCGCTATGATATTGTCGGAGGTATTTAATGGAGATTCTCCTGAAAGGCCCTCCAGGAGCTACTTTGAATTTGGTAGAAATGATCGAGCAATACTCTCCATGATTCCGATCCAGAGTATGCTTATGCTCCCACCCACCGATTAAAGAAATAACTATCACCAATGAAATAATCCTTTTTTTTTCTTCAGAAAGAAGAATGGGAAAGAAAAAAGAGAAGAACTCAAGCAAGTAAAGTGTAAACCTCATATTTAATCTCGCTTCATCACCGCTCAAGCGGTGTGTGCGTGCATGGAGACTTTCCTGGGGGGACGGGATACGGTGACAACCCCCTTGGGGGTTGTCAGATTCACAACCAAGGGCATTTTGGGTATGAAAAAAAGGAATATATTAATTACCTTTTTGTATTAATTACCTTTTTGTATTAATTATATTGGGAATTAAAAACCCATATTAAATACAATATTTTTCTGAAAATTAAATCCTATACATTAATATCTCTATCTATCTATCTCTCTCTCTTCTTCCTTTCTCCAGCAGCCACTCCGCATCGACCGACAAACTTTTTCTCCGGCGAATTCTCTCCGGCAGACTCCCTCCGGCAACCTGAAAAAATGTACCAATGCGTTAAAAAGTGTACCAATCTATTAGTCTACTGGTAATTAATATACCAGTGCTATTGGTACGCTACCAGTACGTTAAAAAATGTACCAGTACTAGCGGTACCAGTAAAAAATGTACTAATACTAGTGGTACGCTACCAGTACAACGCTACCAGTAGAGAATAACACAACGCTACTAGCACTGGTAGCGATACCACTAGCATTGGTAGCGGTACCAGTAGCGAATAACACAAAAAAAAAAAAACAGATGATAGTGGTACCAGATGATAGGGGAGCCACTGGTATTGGTACCAGTGAGTAGTGGTAGCGTACCAATAGCGCTACCAGTGGTATTGGTACCAATAGTACTACCAGTGGTATTGGTACCGGTAGAGACTATCAGATCTGGAAAAAAAATAGGCGGCGACATAAAAATGGTGGCGGCAGGGGAGGACAGCGGCGCGGCCGTTTCCTTGTCGGCGCCCGGGGGGGGGGGGGGGGGGGGGGGGGGGGGGGTACAGCCGCTTCTCCTTGAGGAAGGGGATTGAGGGAGGATCAATGAGGAGATGTGGTGGTTGGCGGTGAGAGGAGGAAGGGGCTTTGAGGAAGGGGTGGCGATGGGAGGAGGAAGGGGAGGGCTTTGAGGAAGGGGATTGAGGGATTGGTGGTGGGTGGGGTGCCGGGGGTGGAGGAGAAAGGGAGCTTGGCCGGCGGTGAAGGTGGAGGGAGGGAGGGTGTCGGCGGACGGTGATGTTTACGGGAGAGAGGGAGGAGAGAGAGAGAGGGAGGATGAAGGAGTTAGGGTTTTTGTTCTTTTTATATGGTAGGGTTAATGATTGGGTGTGGTAAATTTTTACCCTTCCCAAAATATCCTTCATTTAATCTTAACCCTTAATTTAAAAAAAAAAAGAAAGAGACAAGAGAGAGAGCGTATCCAAGGGCTATGAAGTGGGTTGTGAATCTGACAACCCCCTTAGGGGTTGTCACCGTATCTCGTCCCTTTCCTGGGTTATAAAAAAACGTGATGCTCGAAGTTGGTGATGTAGCCAATATGAGATTATTAGGTTCTTCCTCTAGGATAAGTTGGGCTAATTAAGGGAGGTCTAAGCACCTTGTTTAAGTAAATTGCAATCGTTATTCGATGTAAGAAATCGGATCTTGGTAATTAATTTGGGTTAATTAATCATTTTCTACCTTCTATTCAAGGATTCCATATGTCACTCAAGTTTGGTACAAGAGAAGCTTTTATTTGGGGTAAATGCCACATTTGGTCACTAAGATTTCTAAATCGTGTCAGGTTTAGTCACTAGAAAAATTTAGGCAAAATACACTTGCATAGCCATAACTATCCACTTTATGACAATAATAGCCATTTTTGATAAATACAAAGTGCCATACTTTTGAAACTAGTTGGACAAATTTAGCCATTTCCATTTATAACTTTAACACAGTTAGAAAACCTGTCGATTACATTAAAAAAATGATGATATGGATGCCACCTCAGATCCCACATCAGCTCTAACACACCACATGCCCGCCGTGTCACATTTAAATTTCAAAATAAAAATTATTTTTCGTAAATATGTTCTTGTCCTCCATCGCAGCATCTTCTCCGTCGAAATGAAGAAGCGCAACGCGATCTCCTCCATCATTTTCTTGGCTAAATTTTTCACTATTGGTTCCCACAACTGCTCGTACCGACGATAAGGGGACACGAATTCCAATCGCTGGAAAATGGACTTTGACCAACAATCCCTAATTTGATCGTGGGGCATATCTCGCCAAAGCAACTCGTCGATTATAAGAAATTGTGCAGCGGCGGTTGAGTTGTGAAGGGAATCGGTCAATCAGAGCCAAATACCGAGAGTTGATGTTCTCCAAATCTCTCTAGGCTCGACTCCAACTACCTTCGGTCGAGCTCCAGCTTTGATGCCACGCAGAGCAGCAGAGGGGCGGATACCGCTGATCCGGAGAGAAGGAGCGCCGGAACTCTAGCCCCATCCGTCGCTGCCTCTTCTCCTGCGGCGGGTTCCACCTCAAACTCCAGCCACAAAGGCTCTCAATTTCTCCGGCAGCTCTCTGGATTTCTAGGTGAAGGGGAATGGAAGCGGCGATGGCAGATCTGAAGGTCCAATCATCCTCTTGCAGGTCTAATCATCTTTCTCGGCGCCTTAACCCCCACTTGAAGACCCAGTCACCCTTCGCTCTACTCGTTTTGCGTTGTTTTCCATTTTCCTGCAGATCTGTAAGTCGAACAAATCGCTGAACTGAACATGGCCACGGGAGAGTTCAGACTGCAGAGGAGTTCTTCCCATTGGGAGTCGCCGCAATCAATTAGATGGACGAGGCGAATCAAGAGGAGGCGGACGTGAGCTTCGATTTGCCCTCGATTGAGTGGGAAGTGGTTGGTCGAGTCGAGGAGGTGGGGTTTCAAAATGGCGGAAGTTGAAACTTGAAAGGCGTTTGGGGATAGATGGTGTGGGGGAAAGAAATGACACGTTATGAAAAGAAATAAAAAATAATTCAGCAGCCAAGTTAATGGTAGAGGTGTTAAATGGTTACCATGGTTATTACTAAATCAAATAACACTAAATTTCATTAATCATGGAATATAATATCATAACCAAACCGTCCAAATTAATACAATAACCAAATTAACCAAACTAAAGTTTAATCGGTTTG